ACTGTGTCCATGGGTTATGCATATATGCATATAACTTCTTTGGTTAATCTCTTCCCACCTTCCAGCCCCCTTCCCTCTTCCCTCTGAAATATGATCGTCTGTTACATGGGCCAATGTCTCTGGATCTACTTAGTTTGTCAGATTCTTTTGTTCATTAGTTTCTTCTTAAAAAAGACCCTTCAACATTTCCTGTAGTGCTGGTCTGGTGGTGATGAACTCCTTTAGCTTTTTCTTATCTGTGAAGCTCTTTATTTGACCTTCAATNAATCTTGGTTGTAGTTCCATGTTTTTCATCACTTTGAATATTTCTTGCCACTCCCTTCTGGGACTCCAAGGTTTCTTTTGAGAAATCAGCTGACAGTGGTATGGGTGCTCCCTTGTAGGTAATGAACTGCTTTTCTCTTGCTGCTTTTAAGATTCTCTCTTTGTCTTTAACCTTTGGCATTTTAATTATGATGTGTCTTGGTGTGGGCCTCTTTGGGTTCCTCTTGTTTGGGACCCTCTGTGCTTCCTGGACTTGTAAGTCTATTTCTTTCCCCAGGTAGGGGAAGTTTTCTGTAATTATTTTTTCAAATAGGTTTTCAATTTCTTGCTCTCTTTCCTCTCCTTCTGGTACACCAATGTTGGGCCTCTTGAAGTTGTCCCAGAGGCTCCTTATACTATCTTCATATTTCTGGATTCTTTTTTCATTTTGCTCTTCTGGTTGGGTGTTTTTTGTTTCCTCATGTTCCAAATTGCTGATTTGATTCTCAGCGTCCTCTACTCTACTGTTGATTCCCTGTAAATTATTCTTCATTTCAGTTCGTGTAGTATCGATTTTCTCAATTATTTTCGTCATACTCTTAGTAATATCCTTGAGCATCCTTATAACCATTATTCTGAACTCTGTATCTGTTAGCTTGCTTGGATCTATTTCATTTAGTTCCTCTTCTAGAGATTTCTTCTGTTCTTTCCTTTGTGACATGTTTCTTTGCCTCCACATTTTGGCTGCTTCCAGGTGTTTGTTTCTATGTATTAGGTAGAGCTGCTATGTCTCCTGGAATTTGTAGAGTGGCTTTGTGTAGTAGGTGTCCTGTAGTGTCCAGTGGCTCAGCCTCACCAGTCACCTGAGCT